ACTCACCAATCACAGCTATCCACGCAACAGCAAGTCTTACACAAAAATCTAACAATGCTTACAATTTTGCTGGGGCAAAGTACCCAAGCTTGGTGGTGGATTACCAAGAGGGACTAAATGGAGGAAGGTGGAATGTCACAAAAACTATTCTTTGGCTCTTTGGGTGGGTGGGTGTCCTGGGGTTTGTATCACAACTACCTTTTTTTTAAACAGCTACCAAATCCATGAGCAGTCCAACCAATACTGAACAGTTCTGTTTTTGCAGGTTATCTGGGGTCTTAATCATCTTCTCCTTCATCGTCTGTTTTTCTCTTCCTCTTCTCACCTTTTCCGCTTTCTTCCTCCTCTTCATCTTCATCCTCCTCCTCCTCCTCCTCTTCATCAATTTCTCTATCATGTCCAAATTCTTCTTCATCTTCATCTTTGTCCCTGTCCACGTCTTCATCCTCATCCTTATCCTCTTCTTCATCAAAGTCCTCCTCCTTACCATCCTCATCTTCCTCATCTTCTCCTTCATCCTCCTCCTCTTCATCTACACCATCCACCTCTGCATCTGAATCTGGGGCTTCCCGGTCCTCTCTACCATAGCCGTCCAGGTAGCTTAGTTGGGGCAAGAGCTTGAAGACACTCTCTCGGTAATCATTCAGGTTGGTGACCCCACAATTAAACAGATCCAGGCTTTTTAGACAATCCAATTTTTTTCAAAGGCTCCAAGGTGCTGATATCTTTCAGTTTATTTCCACTTAAGTTTAGGTGTGTGAGATTTGGAAGTTTTTCTGCTTACATGTCCAGACACCTCCAAAGATTTTATTGTCACTGAGCTCAAGCTTTTTCAATTTAGGTAATTGGGAAGATTTGAAACTGAAAGCAAGCACACATTTATTAAACTGAGGAACTCTAGGTTTGTAAGTTCAGCTGTTAAGCCCTCAATTTTTCCATCATTTGTTTTGCAATTGTCCAAGACAAGTTCTTGAACAGCTCCTGGGGTCCGGTTCCTCAGCTCCAGGTGGATCCTCTTCTTCATGTCCATGTTCCCCTTGACCCCCCACTTCAAACTTAACTTTCCGCGGTGGGGCGGGGAGGGGGGAGGTGTCCCCGAGGGCCGTCGGAAGGGGTCTGTTTGCGGCAGCGGCAGCAGCGGCCGGCGCGCCTTGCGAGAGAACTAGCGAGCGGAGCCAAGTTACTCGCGGGAGCAGGAACAAACCATGGAGGGAAAAGGAAGCTGGAGTGTAGCAGTGGCCTCACTACTGCCGCCCTGGCATTTTCAAAATAATCGAAGTAATCATAAATATCTTTAATGGGAAAGCAGTGGTGAATGAAATTTAGTCTTTCTTGAATTTATTGTGGAAATGTATTAGGACTCTTTATCTTTAAAATGACAACATTTTGGGGAAATTGTCTTTTAAAAGTCATTTAAGCTGGGTGTGGTGGTGCATACTTGCAATTTGAGCACTTGGAAGGCTGATTCACAAGAATCACTGAGAATTGGAGGCCAACCTGGGCTACATAGTGAGCCAAAGGCCAGCCTGCACTAGACAGGCTTTGTCACAAAAACAAACAAAAAACCAAATAAGTAAAATGAAAGACCAGCCAAACAAATAAGTAAAATAAAAATAAAAATCATGCACAGGTTTCACAAGTTTTTCCCCCATGTAGGAATTTATACCTAAGGTGACTAGATCTTCTCAGCTAATAGTTTAGTGCAATGTTTGGAAAGGGTTGCAATCTACCAGTGATTATGGAATAATTTGAATGGGTTTTGACAGCTTTCATTGTTCATAGTAATGGTAAACATTGCTGAGTGCTCTGTTGTAGGTATGTATGGGTGTCTGTGTATACATATTTACATATATGGATGAATATAAAGATTATAATTAAAATGTGTTTCTGATCAAAGCCATACTCAAAATATGGAACATTCCATGGTCTTTCCTGTATTCTGAAGTTATTCTTCTGAAGTAATTGATTTTAAAAAGTAATTTCTGAGTATGGTATTAACATTTTATTTGGAAGGGGTAGCTTATTTCTTTTGATACTTTTGTTCCACAGTGGTTGTTAGGGCTCTCCAGAGGCTATGCAGTGAGCCTGTTGTAGGTCCTGAATATCAATCATGAAGATTATATTAAATATGAGACCTAGAATTAAGCATTTCATATATA